CCCCCCAGTCGATTGCTTGCTGCTGAAAGTCGGTACCGGGCCATTTCATTGGAGTCGGCAAGCTCATTATCAGGATCTCTGTTTAGTACGGGGCCGTCAGGGGTAGCCTCCGAAGGAATGTGCTCGCGAGACGGTCGTCGAGGACGGCCGCTTGTTCTCGTTGAAGAAGCGTTTGCACGGGAAGTCGGAGCACGAGGCCCCGCCGTAAAGGGTGCAGCTCGACCTTGTGAGGCCGACGATGGAATCGGGGTCTCGGGACCAATAAAATCGAGATTAGTACCCAACGTCTGGACATTTTCTGTTGTGCTCGTAGAATCGGCACGTTCTTCTCTGTCAGATACCCATTCGTCAACACTGTCCTCGACAGAGGCTGCCACTGACGCTTGAGTTGATTTTTGTGTATAGGTCCGGGCGGGAGGTACATCGGGTAGATCGGTATCTGGCGGTGAATCCTCGTCTTGCGTGTCCTCTTGTCGAATCTCTTCATTCTCATCCTCCTCCGACTCAGCTACCACTTCGTCGACCGACGGAGCGACACTGACTCTTCATTGGGAACACTCTCATGAGTTCCTAAGCTGAAGCTGGACGCGTACCTGTCTCCGCTATATCTTCTACGTGGCGCACCAGCTCTGCATCATCGGCACCGTCATCAACGCCATCGTGGTAGAGTGAAGGTCCGGCGCTGAGTTCAAGCTCTCGGTGGATTTGTGGGCAAAGGCAATCGGCTTCTTCGACTCGGGTATTTCTCCATTGTAACCCGGCGGCTTTGGCTTTCCATACAAACTGCGAAATTTCCTGCGCAGGGCTTCGAAATCACGCTCGCTGGTGCCTCTTGGACGGCGCGAGTTATACCAAAGAGCGACTTGATCCCACATGTTCCTTCCAAGGGGTAGAATGTCTCCAACAACGCTGCATAACGGCATCTGCTCAGCGATCGAGAAGTTCCGGTAGCCACTTTTGCGGCCCCTCTACAAGGAAAATGTCAGTGCATTGGATAGGACAGCTCTCTAATGTTTGTGCCGTACCCGACTCATGACAGCGTCTTGAGACTCCGATCCTCAGCTTGCACGATAGAAAATGAAGTCGACCGCCCAGAATGTTTTAGACAAATGAAAAACCATTGATTTTCATTATTGACAACTGCAAAGAAGGAAAAAAAACTCAAACTAGCAGGTCGCAATACACTTCCAAGTGCAGGAAGAAAACAATTAGTTGGGGATCGATCCTAGATCGTCCTTCGCCGCATCTGCAAAGGGTCCTTATTGTAGTGGTGTGGCGGCCGGAACGTCTTGAAGGTCTCGATGCTGACACCCCTGCCACCCTCACTTACACACAAACCACAATCGGTCTCCGTAGCTGACGGTTACCTCCTCACCGGGGAAAACATCGCGTGCCGTGACAGCCACCACTGTCAGCTCCCTCCCGGTCTGGACCTCGTGGAATCTCGCAGTGGGGTTGCATGAGTGGTTGAGGAGGCGCAGCTTACCCCCGCTGTAAAGAGCATCGATACCGGCGTATTTATTGCTCGACGTCTTCGTCTTGAGCCGCAGACGGTAGCCTTCATTGACCGGCTCGAACTTCGAAGGAGCTCCAATAAGCTGGAGGTGCCCTAAGTATTCCCCCAGAATTTCTCCCGCAGGAATAGCTGTCGTCGCAACGAGGCCTCGCGTACCAGTTTGCACGTTCCGGCGTATTAGTAGATGAGGATTTTCCATGAGAGTGTTTCTACACGAGCCCGCGAATGAACAGTTCAGCGAAGTGCAGACAGGGCCGCCGATTATGGCATGTATATGC